TATCGTACTCTTCACCGCCGCCGTTTCGATGGTAGAAAGGGTAACAGCGATCCAGGCGAAAGGGCAGAAAGTTATACGGCCTTCGAACAAATACCCAAGCCACCTGTAAAATTTTCATGTAAGGAAACTGCCAAAGCTTAGACAATGGTATGCACACCAGAAAGACAGGTTCAATACGAAACGTTAAACGAAAGGGTTGAGGGGCCACCATTTAGGTTAATCAAAACAAGGAGAGTGCTGAAATGTTATCGCCACATTATTCTGTGAACAGAAATTTGTACTAATGTGTATATGTACTTAAAACTCAAACCTCGAACCTGTTGCTCATGTCTAACACAAAAAGGGCTGAGGATTAATGCTACCGGCCACTATATTGCAAATACATCATTACAGATGTCAGCGCAGGCTATAAGAGTGTTGCACATCATAAAAGTACATGTGAACCGGCACTCCAGCGATTAAACTTTCACTTTTCCTTTCCTGTGTCATTAAAGGTAAAAATCGACTTAAATACTGAATTATAGGTTCGACGTACGGTAGAAGCTGAGAATGGCCTCTGGTAACTAATTCGAAATTTTTCTGAATATGATGTGGCAGAAACATCTCAGCTGCATCTGTTAAAACGAGCTCATGAACGAGTAGGAACAAAACCGTTACCGTTGAATTGTAAAATGTCAGATATCCATGACACCTCATTCACATTTCCCACAACAAATAAAAAATCAATAAAAAAGAACTAAAAACTGCCTACCAGTCCCATGCAAGTTCCGACGGTGAACATGATTCCAAGCACCAAGCCAACGCTGAACCCCTGAACAGATTTGTCCAACAACACAAATGGTTCTGCAGTCACCACTTTGGGAACAGAAGTGTTTGCGATGCAACTTCGGCCATCGCTGTCTAGGCGAAAGCCGTCGGCGCACAGACAGGAGTACGGACTAAACCCTCGACGGTACGGCGGCAGAAGTGGCAAGTCGTTGGACAATTTGAAAGCCGGAACGCACAAATGACTGCAGTACTTCACGCGGCACTTGTTCGGTACTAAAATGCCGTAGAAATATACAATTCGCATATGGCTAGTGCAGCAATTATCAAACTAGCCCAAAGCACCTTTACGAAAAAGTATAGATCATGCTAACAAAATATTAACTCTAAACCAACAACGGTTTGGTGCAATAACATTAAGTCATGCTATCATGAATACCTGATGAAAAACATGATTAGTACTCTGATGCAGTAAGAATCTGTACAAATTACATCACGCGGTAATTAAAAAAGTATTCAGATTTACCTTTGGCCGTGGTACCGAAAAGTTAGATGATGCAAAGAAACATTAAAATAAGAGGTTATTATAACAGAGCATACAGTGAAAACCACGGTATATAACTTTGCAGCTGCTTGATATCACTACAGTCGAAATCTGAATAAGTTGCATATCACTATAAATAGTAGATTTAGACCAGATCTAGCTTCCTGTACGAAAAGGTTGAGATAACTAATATAAATATTAATTTTATCCTCCACCACTGTGCAGGCAATGCGGTCATAAGATAAATAACCGGGATAGTGTCAGCTTACTGTACGAAAAAATGTCTACATATACTAAATACAGGCCTTAAAACAACAGGTTACATGATATTTTAATATGAAGTCAGATGACATCGAAATCTGCAGAAAATACATGGCCTACTACATAAGGATTCAACGTTATAACGTTCAAGCATGTCATACGAAAACGCTCAGACGCTGAGTACGGACGTGATCAGTGCCTCATACAATATCAGGGGGAAATGGGCGCGTCACCAAGATCATCCGAAGAACAACCGGAGAGTCAAAGTTACCAGGTCAGCAGGGCAGGGTCTCTACCAAGGAACAGAACAGAGGAAACTGGAGGTGCAAAAACTTGAGTTACGCACCCAAAACGACGATAAATCAGAAGAAAGCTTAATATTGTGTACTGACTGAAGACTGTGTACATAATGCGTTATCTGTTCAGTCCAACGCAATCGAAATTTTTAGTAACTGCGTAGGACTATAAATTCAATAATCATATGACTCATAGCTTCTAAAAACAAAAAGTTTATAGGACAATAAAACTAAGTTTAAAGTACTAAAAAATCACCGTAATACCTTGAGAAGTGAGTGCTTATTGCAGTAATTAACGAATTATAACCGGGACGTAGAAACCCCATGAAAATGATAAAAACATTAAACCAAACTGTAGTACGCAAGAGTTGAAACGATGTCAATTAAATATTAATTTTCAAGTAGCAGTAGATTACTGTAACAGCTCATTAAATGGCTAATACTGGATTTGATACACGTTTAGAAGGAACGTCAGTAACTGTTGGAATGTCACATTCATGATCAGGAGCCACTGATGACCGCGCCATTCCCATGCCAACAGCCAGAAGTGTCACATTTTAAAGCAAGCGTCGACACCAGGTGTGATAAGTAGTTTCTCGTTTTATTTCCATGGCAAGAATCATTTGTCAACCTCTGTAGGAAGAACGGCGACTGAACACCGTGGTTCGAATCCGGTACCTGTTGGTTCTAAGTTCGACGCTCTACCGACTGAGCAGCTCCTGTCGAACCTTACTATAGCAACATCAAAATTTTCAAAAACTCCGTGTAGAGTAACCATGTGAATAATCATATTAGTACAAGCAACTATGCGAAAACGCATTATTTTTGATACCCGTCAAACACCAACTGTAAGTAAGCGACAGAATACCTTAACTGTACTTTAACCCCTGAGGGCAGTAGTTGGCGCAAAATTTATTCGCTAGGCGGTTGCAAGCAGAAACAGGATAAATCACACTCAAATAAGAAATCTATGACTAAACCAAACCAAACCAATCTAGCATGAAAAACTTGCCATCACAGTTAATTACTGACAACGTGAAAAAATGGTATTCCAAACAGCATCGAATGAACGTACAAATGTGGGCAACAGTATTATGGGGAATAGTTCAAGTCTGGACTATATTATTGACATAAAGATAGTTTTCCTACGGTTAATTAATACCACGGAACTAGCGACTAAATCTTCAATTTATTCTGAATGTGATCCGGCATTCTTAAGCTAAAGGCACCGGAACAAAAATCTCATGTTTAATTCTAGAATTGCAGTTGTAAACTCCTCCGCCGGCGCTTAGTCATAATATTTCTCGAGACAGAGCAACGTTAAATGGATAATGAGGCTCTGTCAGGCCTGGATACCACATTGTCTACTTAACCGATCGATACAGAATTCATGACAAAGCCTCACAGCTATCGCTGCGACTCATGAGCATACATACAATCATATGTAGTCCTTCAGCAGTATCTCATAATTTGGCTATCTTCCCTTCTTTGTGGCGGACATGTAGAGGTTCAAAAAGCAAACGCTCACCAGAGTACTTACTCCCGAAGTAAAAGTCAAATCTCTCAAGATAACTGACAATCGTTTCTGCAATCCAGGGCAACCGACACTGCACAAAGCGACCGTACTGAAGAAGACGTACCTTCAGGCTGAGTGACTTCGTGCGCCACTCTGATGCTCATAAAGCCAACCAGTCCTGTAAATAGCACGTCCTTTGTTTCGCCGGTAAACTTGTTCGCCACGTGAATGCCCTGGGTGTCCCAGTCTGTCCAGTAGATGTTCTCTTCGAACACTGCTAGGCCAAAAGGGTGGAACAGCTTCGCGTTGTTGCTGAGTATCACTGCTTTGTTGTTGCCAAGATAGTCGGCACTGCAGATCTTCTTGGACTTGGCGTCCACCCAGAAAATACGCTGTTCTGCAAGGTCCAACGTTATGCCGTTCGGCCAGTAAATGTCACGATCGATAATTGGCTGACGATGGGTGCCGTCCATACCGGCACGTTCGATTTTCGGGTACCGACCCCAATCTGACCAAAACATGACCCTGAAAAGACCATTAAGATGAATGGTAACGTCATCACACAGTTGCTGTCGTCATTCACCCTCGTAATGGATCGACGGCAATGGCTCGCGGTTCGTCGAGGTCTTTGTCGAATAACGTGTGTCGATGCTCGCCGTTGAATTCTACGAGCGAAATGGTGTCCGTTCCGCTGTCAGTCCAGTACAACAGCTCATGCACCCAATCAACAGCAAGACCGTCAACTGCAGAGAGTTTCTTGCCCACCACTTCTTTCATACAGCTGTTCGACGAAACAGACATGTCCTCTTTCAAACTGCAACTAAAAGCATAAACGTACATATAAAAATAACAAAAAATATAACGCCTGAAAACTGACTGCAAGATATGGACAATAAACAGCTAGAAATTAAGGATATAAGATTTAGCATCAAAGAACATCTGCGATAAGCTATATATGAATACAATGGAAACAGACAAAACATTTCACTAACGACTAAATAGGTGACCTTATTCATCAATTGTCATTAATGAGATAAACGTCAAAAAGCAAATGTGGACCGTAACAGCCATTACCGAAATCGAAGCTATCATAAAA